ATAACAAAGAGCTAAGCGGTGAGAAAATAGACTTAGGTCAAGTTAAAGGGACATATTGAATATCGGAATAACAATGAAGACCATTTATACTAAATAACGTCTGTTATGACATCAAAATAAAATTTACTAACTTGACCATCCTTTCCTCAGTCTGGGGGCATTTTTCGTTGTCAAGTTGGTCAATTGGTAAAGATAACAAAATCAAGTGTGGATTGTTGGATTTGATCAGTGTGTAAGATTATAAAAGCAGTGTATGTTTACATAGTGAACTTGCTTATCACATTCGTGTTGATTTTGTCACTTCATGGGGGAGGGAGGTGTTGTAACCAGGTCAGATTCTGTTTAAGTTCGTCATTCCTATTCAGGCAATTTGGATTCCACTTGATATGTAGTGCTTCTGATATTAGACATTCTTTGTGATTTCTGAAGTTTTTCTGGATTATTTCAATATTGCCAAAATCGATTTTGTGGCCTGATTCTATAGCGTGTAGACAGGCTATGGATGATGATTTTTCAAGTTTTTCTAGTTCAACTGAATTTCTCGGTGGTCGAAGAGATGTTCTACGGTGTTCATTTCTTCTGATTTTGATTTCTTGAGATGTTTGTTCGATGTATATCGCATCACATTCTGAGCATTTAATTTTATAGACACAATTAGATAGAGAATCTTTGGGGATTTGGTCTTTTATATGGACAAGGTTGCTTTGAAGTGTGTCTGATGTTTTGAAGAAAATTCTAATGTCGAGCTGATTGAATACTCTTCTGATATCGTCTAACGTCTCTGTTCTATATGGAATGACGACTGTTGACGTCCATGTTTTCGGAATGCGTTTTAGACCATACTTAATGTCTGTTTTGATTTTGTTGATGAAGTTCCTTGGATAAAGCTATTAGCATTAAATAGCGAAACGTCAGTAAAAACAATATCTTATTGTTTTTCATTCATTGGGAAATACAAAAATCATTATTATAATGAATAAACTAACTGTAAGTTTCAAATTCACTCAGTTGAATTCATTTTGGTCGAAGTATCTTAGACAGACAGACTTATGGTGAGACAATATGTATTCGTTGACGGTGAAATGCAAATCTGAACAGTGGCAGAATTAGACGTTGTACCGGATGACCTAGGAAACTTAGCTGTTTACCAAGTCACCGCTTCATTATCAACCATCAATCCCTAGAACAATACTAGTCTGAGATAGTGTCATCTAAAATTAACATCCTTCCTCCTTGCGTTAAATTGTCAAGTGAAGAACTATCTTATCACCTAGTGTGATGACGTTGAATAGGCAGTTAAGTATGATTTATTCACATGACAACCAAGCATAACTTGTAATGACTACAGTGAAATTATGACATGGTTAGCAGATAGTTTTCATAACTAGGCTAGTAGAACTCTACGTTAGTAATTTGGAGGCCGTTAATTCGAATCGTACCAGGTATTATTTTATCTCACTTGCAATCACTAAGCGCTGCAATATCCAAATTCCATTGGACACATTAATTTGGAAAAAGTGACTTCCCTTACAATATAAATCTTAATTTAACTACTCACATGCTAAAACGATCAGTGTTTTTATTGGAGGGGAGAATAGAAATCTTGATTTGATGGATTATTTCATGTATGGCTAAAGAAGTTTACAAAGTCAATTATTTATTAATACAATCTTTTGTAATCATTTTTCCCTGGTTTTTGTTTCATTAAAGTTGCGATCACTACACTACAAAGCATGCTATTTCTCTTCTAAGTTAAGTGACGTTATTCAACGCCTATAACTTCTAGTATCCGGCAGTTTAATATTATTCACATAAAACTGAAATATTCCGCAAACACATCGTTGGATTTTCTGTTCAGTCTGCAAATTTTAATCACAGAAAGCTTGAATCAAGTTTTAGAGACTATATGATGATGATGATGAGGTGTTTAATAATTTGTAGTCATGTGAAGGTGCAGAAGCTAATATTTGCAGTTATCAGTCAGGTAAATATTTCAAATAGAAATCTAATATTCAAGTGTTGGTTTGTAGGGATTTGATTGGTTTCAGGATTTCATCATGAGCTGACATTAGTTAGACACTTGAATGCCAATGAGAAGCTCACTGGCGACTGGCCCTATTCAGGTAGGTAGTTACCTGGGTTCCAGTGGGAAGTCGTGAGGACAAATACTCGCCGAAGACATTGGCCAGCGGTTGCGCTATGTCGTGAATTGGCAGAGGTTAGGATTCAAGGACCATTGGATCGGGTTCCAGTGGCTTAATGGTATACGAGCTCACCTTGTAACCGGAAGGTCCTGGGTTTGAATCCCGGTGGATTCGTATTGCTGAAGAGTCCAAAACTAGGACGAAACAGACGTCCAGTACTCTCAGGTTTTCCAATGGTTCTCTAATTAATGTCAGCTCATGATGAAATCCTGAAAGAAATCTAATAATTTTGCCAGTGAAAACATTGTTTGCGAACAGACAGAAGAAACAATATGAAATCTCGTCTTGTTTAAGTCAATTTTCGTCTTTCCCGTTGACTAACTGAACCAAAATAATTAGATTCTGTTGACAATTTGGCTACTAGTACGGATACTTCAGCAATGTCTGGGGATTAACATTGATGCTGCTCGGTGGATGGTGACTAGCGGTTTAATCAATCAACGGAGAAAACAAAACATGACTGAAATAAAATAATCACTTATTCCCCTTCCCCAAGAGGTGGCTCAAGTGATCTAGTGGGTAACGCGTTGGTTCGAGTCTCAGTGGTAACACCATCACCCAATACGGAATGCAGGTTCATCCGGCCGACGAGTCATAAATAGAATGAGACGGATTCCACTAGTAGTCTCCATCCACCAAATATTATGAAATCTAATATAAAATGTAATAATTCAGTTTTCATCCAATGTGACAGATGAAATAAGCACTAATGATTGATAAAATGTATGGCGAAATTTTACAGTCCCTTGTCAAACTCCGATCAGTATTGACTAGGTTCATGTATTAACCTGCATGCCGTTAGTTATGTAGTAATTTAATTCCACTTCATACAGTATTGGTATTTTTACATAGATGAACATCAAACTGTACACATTTTTCATCTTCCATCCATCTTTTTCAGAAACTTAGTAATTCTTTCGTAACTTAATGTTGATTTACCCTTAGCTTCATTCAGTTTGATGCTATTGGCTCTCGTTCTTTCTACACTGGAGACTTTCCATCCCATGAAATTCCCCATAAGACTTGCAAAGTTCACGATCTCTATATATAGCTAAGCTGCTTTGTGTTTTAATTTAGTATCAAGTTGGAGTAATGATAAATGATAATATCAGGAAATGAGATAGCTTTCTTCAGAAATAATTGTTCATAGGGAATAAAAAGTTAGTTGCAGCGAAGAAAATTTTCTTTTCGACGAAATCATCAACTAGGCCGTACATTCGTGTATTTTAATAAATGGGTAGGAAAGTTCCAGAATAATTTCTGGTCAAGAGTCAGATTAATAGAATTACAATTATGAATTAAAATGCCATAATAAACAGGGGGACGGATAAAGCTCAGATAAAGTAGCATCATGATTACTGAGAAGATTGACATATTGTGCAATTAGGGGTTAAAAATGTAGAAATAACAGGATGTTTGGATAAAAAAAATCCAGTGGGATCATAACTACTGTGACGGATAATTGTTTATGCATTCAGGAGTTAAATATGTGGAAATAATAAAATAACAAAATAGACAGAAAGTTCGGATATGAAAATACGGTAGTGTAAATAGGGATTAATAATCAATAATAATTTTTTCCTTTACGTTCCCAGTGGAACATAGGGCTTCAAGCTAGTGGCTTGAAGTTTCTGTAGCAGTGTTTACTTTTACAGGATGGGGTTGCCAGCCTCATGTCCAACCTTTCCTCCTCATCAGCATTATTTCTGGCTTAGCGAGGTAAAGAAGTGAGCCAGCGGGAGATCGAACCCCGGACCATGTGCATGGTCGGCGAGCGTCCTAACCACCGTGCCACTGACGCACATAAATAAGGATAAAGAAAAACTTAAAATAAACTCAATAAACACGAAGTGTGGATAAGAAAGTCAATGGGATAGTCAGTATTAGAAGAATTACCTGTTTATGATGGCCATGGCAGAGACTAGGGTTGAACGTATTTCTTTTGGATACATAGCGTGGGTTTGAGCTTTTGGATGGTTAGTGCCCATGTGTCTTAATTTTACTCCCTTTGATAGGTTTGATCGAATCTTGTATCAGTATCAAGAGCCTCGATATGGGTATATGCTATAGATTACTCTCGAGAGTTCATCAGTAATTAATACAGCATCACCCTGTATTTTATCACATAAAATCATTCTATGAAGGGATTATATTGTACCGCGATGCCCACATTCTATTCTTAGATAGATGTCAAAAATATGAGTGAGAAAGTGCTTATTAAAAGTGAAAAGTGTTTTGTAGTAAATGCAGTAGACTGTGACATAATCACAATGATCATAGTTTCTACAAATACAAGTTTTTATTATTTTACTCTTTAATACTGATAATCAGCATATTATTTTTATATTAACAGTAAGCTAAGAAAGATGAGTGTTTTTTCCCACATACCTAAATTATGCTGTTAATTTTATATCCTCCGATTTTTACTGCAATCTATCAAAAATCAAATTGTTCTTTCAGTCCGTCGTTGTTGTTTATTAGTTTGTAATTGATTTCTTTTATCAGTCACAGCAAGATTAATAAGGTCTTATTACCTACCTTCTTTTGATGTGTGCAGTCTGTTGACTAGGTACTACATTTATTAATTTTTATGCGTTACGTGAAAAATGATTGGTTCTTGGAATCTATTATCTAGCATAGGACTTGTTATGTTTCTAGGAATTTGAATCCCATTGGTCATTTGATTGTGCAAAAATCAATAATTTCCCCCTTTCATCATAAACTATTAGTGAATAATTCCCACTTGGCATATGTTTACAACAGGACAAAGTTGGTCTTATTCATTATTTATAACATATGGGTAAGAAAAATAACCGGTCTAAAGGAGAAAAATTAAATTTTCATAAGACACAGGTCAAGGGCAAGCTAGTGAAAACAAATACCAGTAAAGCTTCACTCCAAAATTCGAATTATAAAGCAGTCCAAAAGCTTCCTCAACAAACAAAATCAAAATTTTCCGGTGAATTTTACTTCACCCGAAAAATCTTACGAATCATGGACTGGAAGTTCCTGGTGTCTTGTTCCTTGGTATTATGCCTTTATCTGTGTACAGTTTTAACCAAATCTACAATATTATCCTCTGATGATCAAGCTAGTCATGATGTTAATACACTCAGTAAAAAACTATCCGATTCACCAATTGAAATATCGACAGTAGATTCTGAAGAGAATGATCAGATTTCCAACAGTCACTTGAACGCTGAAAGTGAGGACAATAAAGAAGAGGGAGAGACGTCGTCTTTACTTAACTCAAACCTCTTAATGCCAACACTATGCATTGGTGTATTAGTCCGTAATAAAGCTCATACATTACCATATTTTCTGAATGGTATAGAGAGTCAACAATATCCTAGTAAGCGAATTACACTGATATTTTATGTTGATAATACAATTGATTCAAGTGATGCAATACTGAATGAGTGGATTCAATGTAACAAGCATAAATATCACAATATAATTTTAGAAGTTGAAGAACATAATGTCAGTAGATCAACTGATGAAGAAATCAGCAAACTATGGACTGAGAATCATTATCAACACATCATAAAATTACGTCAGAAATTACTGAATAAGGCACGTGATATGTGGGCTGACTTCTACCTATCCATTGATGCTGATGTAATACTTATGAATCCAGCGACTATTGAACATTTGATAAGTGTGATGCTTAAACCTCTGAATGATGTTTCACAGTCCGATATAAATTCAAGAAGTAATGAAGAAATAATTATTTTAGCACCATTATTAAATTGTACATCATCTGAACATTATTCAAATTTTTGGGGTGCAATGAGTGAAGAAGGCTATTATCTACGCTCTGATCATTATTTTGATTTACAAAAACGTCGTATTCAAGGTGTCTATCCCGTAGCCATGGTGCATTCAATGTTTCTAGTCAACTTAAAGTTCCAGAAATCAGAATTAATTGGTTATGATCCACCACCGACAAATTATACCGGACCAATCGATGACATCATTATATTTTCTAGATCAGTACAACGCGCTGAAATTGACTTCTACCTGGATAATACACAATTCTACGGTTATATACCATCTCCAGTTGATGAACAAGATCTTAACATATACTCAGAAGATTTAAGTAACGCCTGGCTTTTACGGGAACAAGATTTATTTGTTCATTTACGTCTACAGGCAATCATTGATGAGGAGAATAAGCAAAAAGTTTCCCCATCAAACTGTCTGTTAGATATTGCTAACAACCAGTTGCCAAAATTAAGTAAATTAGGATTTGATGAAATCTATTTTATTAATCTTCTACGACGTACTGATCGTAGATTGAAAATGGAATACATGTTCGATCAGTTAGGTATGAGTGTTAAACGTTATGAAGCTGTGGATGGTAAAAATTTAAGCCTAGAAAAACTTGATGAATTGCACATAAAACAACTACCGGGTTATACTGATCCTTATCATAAAAGATCTTTAAAGTATGGAGAAATTGGCTGTTTTCTAAGTCATTACAACATATGGAATGTGAGTGAATTTTACTTTATAATTCAATTTTACCAGTATTTATTGTTAAATTCGACAATCCCACAACTTTTTGACTTCAGCTATAGCTTTAATGATATATTTCACTAAAAGACGTATGAAATAATTATTTTAACCATCAACTAATTAGTCTAAGTATTAGTAAGGTTTTGACTGTGTATTTTTCATTCCTGTCAATGGGTGGAAGGAATAAATAAGCTGTGCTATTACAATAGAGTAACAATTTTTACTTCATTCACTAATTGTTGGTCATCCACGTAGCTGTAAACGTTCTCTCTAAAGTTCTTAAATACTGAAGGTGTTGTTACTTCTTAACCAGAAGAAAATCTAATTTGTAAGTGCTGAAAGAGGAAGGAAAAATAAAATAACCACGCATTCAAGAGTATGTTCTCAAGAGCAGTACAGAATCAAGTTTAGAGTTGATTATTTGGCTAACAATTTTGTTATTCTGTACGACTGGTAACAGTTGAACTATAAACTGTGCGTGTTGATCAAAAGAAAGAAAGCGTAAAATTGCTATGGAGGTTCCTCAGATACCTTCTAGTTAAAACAAAACTTGTAACAACTCAAACACCTGGAAACGAACTAGGAGCTAATTTAGCTAGTTTTTCATTATTTCAGTCTTATTTATTTATTTATTTTAGCCCTTGTTGTATTTTGGTGTAGGGGTGAAGTTCTACAAGCTCATAGCTGGCGTAACCTGGGAGGTTTTTTGCTGTCCAAATATTTTTTCAGATTTTAATTTTTTTTCGAATATCTCTGTTTTTGTCATCTGCTGACATCAGTTAATCCCCTGATTTCATATTTCCTGATTTTTCACAGTACTCATGTAAACTGTTACAAATGTAATCAACACAAAATTCAACTAATTATTGAGTTTTCAAAACATCAATATTTGAGATTTCACCTACTGTATTCATCCTAAAACATTACTGTTTCTCCTGCAATTTTCTGGTTGTCTTGATTAGTGAAACGAGTCTTGTTTTGTCTGACGTTCCAGCACGCATGATTTCGTTGTTGTTGTTGTTGATAGTGAGGAGGAAGTGGAACTTAATTCCTTTGATTCAGCAAAGTCAAATAGTTCTACATTGCTTCACTTATTTCACCAATTTACTTTCCATAGGAATGTTTATTTCCATAGTCATAGGATTGTTATCTATACTATACTTTTTCTCACTTAAACTCTGAACTTGCTGTAATTCCACGTGTTTTTCATTAATTATCGGATTAAATCATTGTCATCAGGACTATCGATTACTGATATGCCTTACTTCCAAGTTTCTCGAAATTTTGTGTGATCCCACCGAAATCTAAGTATTTTTCCAATTAAACTCATGTCTAAACTTAGCTATGTGTTCTGTCCAACTAGTGTAGTGTTTCCTAAGTTTCGCTTCATATTAGGCGTGTCTTCATTTTTCCGTTGCATTCTTTGGTCTACATAATAGAGAGTGAAAAGATGCTGTAGGTTTATGTGTTATCATTGTTTAGATGTAGTGACTCCTTATTAGCTTACATGGATAATTTTTTTTGGTTGGTGGTGAATTTTTCGAACAAGATTTAAACTAAGAGTCCGTTATTATTATTATTGTTTTTCTTCATTTGTGTATGTGATGCTATCGAAAACATTGTTGGCTAGCTTGAAGCTATTTCCCACTTCGTTCTTTTAGGTGATGACAAATGTATTTTCTGCGTACTCAAGCTAACTTTTTTAGTTTAATCATTGGTAAGTCAAAACCTTCCAGTCTTTGTATTACTGATACACAATGAAACGTTAGTGTAATCACTAATTACGGAAAGAAACCGTGCGTTCATCTTGTTCAAATTGGAATTCTGATTTTGTCTGTGGGACATATTGATAAAACAGACCACAAAAATCTCTTATTTATCAGGCTTTATATGGCTCTCTGAAAACTACATTGTTACATTTGTTAGGCTAAGATAGTATAAGCAAAGAAAAAAAGTATCACATTTGAAATTTATACTACTAAGTTGAATGCCAGGTTTGATTATCAGTAGAAGCATCAACACTACTGACTGAGATGAAAGTATACCCAAACGAGCTGTTCTCCATAAGATGAACAGCATGTTTTAGATTCTAGAATTGGCCATTAGAGAATAGAAACTTCTAACCATTAGTTACGGTCACAGTCAAAACGGATTAAATGGTTCACATTAAGAATTGAAGGTAGCTTTTAAAAACCCAAATACAGTTTGGTACTCTAAGTAGTTAAAAGTGGAAAGTAGTGTTAATCATATATAAAAATGCAGACTAACAGTTTCTTAGTCGACAAATTAAAAGTAACTGGGTTGGATCTTGCAGTGATCTATAAGATTAAATCATGGAAAATATCCATCAGGACATTAGAGGAAAAAAAAACAAGAAGCTCAACGAAGATATCCTTTCAGTGATTTCATTCTCAAAACCTGTACGATCTTCGTTTTATACATAAATAATTTTTCCTTCACGTTCCAGTGGAACATAGGGCTCCAAGCTAGTGGCTTGAAGTTTCTGTAGCAGTGTTTACTTTTACAGGATGGGGTTGCCAGCCTCATGCCCAACCTTTCCTCTTTACCAGCATTTTTTCTGGCTCAGTGAGGTAAAGGAGTGCGCCGGCCGGGGATTGAACCCCGGACCATATGCATGGTCGGCGAGCGTCCTAACCGCTATACCACCGACGCACTCGTTTTATACATAAGTCCACATAATTACATTGTTATGTAATTCACAGTAGTAAGGAAGAGAGACAGTCGCTCAGTATGCAAGGAGAATTTATTCAAAGTCATCTAAAAAGTCAAAAGAAGCCTCTCGAAAACAGCAACCTTCCGCATACTTTGTATTCCCGAGGCCTTAGCGATCCGTATATAAAGCCCTGATTTATGCACACAAGAGAGACTTTTCCCCCTCTTCTTTCTACCTTGGGTATAATTCCAAGTTCTACTACTCTGTTAATAATGGTTTTCTTTGTTTTCTTTTTGAATTTTCGTATAAGATCTCAATAAAATCTTCTTAACCAACCCTTTATTTTTTTTCCTTCACGTTCCCCAGTGGAAAATAGGGCTTCAAGCTATTGGCTTGAAGTTTCTGTAGCATTGTTTATTTTTACAGGATGGGGTTGCTAGCCTCATGATCAACCTTTCCTCTTTACCAGCATTCTTTCTGGCTTAGCGAGGTAAAGGAGTGAGTCAGCCGGAGATCGAACCCCGGACCATGTGCATGGTCGGCGAGCGTCCTAACCGCTATGCCACCGACAACCCTTTATTTACTTACTCTTTATACCTGTTACATAACTTATTTTGGACATATGTTTCTACTAACATCCTATTTCATATTGTGCAGCCCTTGTTCATACTTACCAGTCTTCACCCCCTAGTTACAGTTTTGATTATTCACCACATTTGAGAAACATTTTGATGACGTAAATAATAATTGTAACTAATTTTTATTTTTGTTTGACAATCCTAATGTAAACACGGCTAAATGAATGAATTCGCCGAAAAGAGACTCTTCACTGAACTTTATTGTTCTTATATATTCATGTTTGAATGGGCATTTCCTGTGAAATAATAATCCCTCCCCCTCAGTTACTATTGCGGACCAAAAGAGTGATGTAATTATGAGAACTTATGTACAAAACTGAGATTGTACAGCTTTCGAGAACGAAATTACCGAAAAGGCTAATTTATCGCCCTTCCCACTAAGAAAAATGCTTTTTCAGCACTAATCAGGTTGTTCAGGGCTAATTCATACAGTATTTTATACAACATGTTGAATAAAATGTTCACTAGTCACATTTTGTCAAAAGATTTACATCACATATTACTTGATGTTTGGTAGAATTCATAACAAAAAAGTGAGATGTTGAAGTTGTGTCAGTCAGAACTGTAAAAGAAAATATTTCTGAAAAATTAGAAGGCAAACTGTTATATTTTGCAGTCGTTATTTGATGCATATCCTTGTACTTCTCAAAGTGTAACTTTTTTACTTTACTTTTTTTAGGAGATGGTTAGTCGTGGCTACCAACGTGTATTGATTCTTGAGGATGATCTACGTTTCATTCCTGCTTTTATTAATAATTTGAACAAAGTTGTCAGGGAAGCAGATGAGAATGTACCAGGCTGGGATCTACTGTATATTGGTCGTAAAAGAATGTCTAAAAAAGAGAAGCGCGTTCAGAATACAACTAGTTTAGTTCATCCAGATTATACTTACTGGACATTGGGGTATATATTAAACATAAATGGCGCTCAAAAATTGCTGAATCAAAATCCTTTACAAAAAATGGTTGCCGTGGATGAATATTTACCAATAATGTTTGATAGACATCCAAGAAAGGATTGGTTGACACAATTTGAACCACGTGATATACTGGCTATATCTGCTGAACCTTTGCTTGTTGAACCACAGAGGTATACTGGTGAAAAATATTATATTTCTGATACCGAAGATTCTGAAGTTGTTCAAACAGTAATCTGATCGCACAAAAAATATTCATCTTGCAATAATTGCTTTTTTTAAAGATGTAAACATCTGGAATTTTGTTGTATTGTTGGTTATTGCATTCCTTGATCAGTTTTACTTCATTTTTTTGGAAAAGCTTTCAGTTTAAATAAAATGTTTTACTGCTTAACACTGAAGTTGTTTTAAAATGTTTTCGTTTTTCGAAGTCTTTGTTACTGAATAGTATGTTACTAAAACTACATCACTGTGTGTTATGTGGAGTCACATTCTACCAAAGTGCCCACATTCGTGTTATAACTGTGAGATCAAGTGAATATGTTGGGCCGACGCACCCGTGTTTCCGAGGTTCCTTCTTTGTAAGGAAGCCTTACGTAGAATTTTTAATAGGGTAGGGATAAAAGCGACACTTAAACTCAAAAACTCAGTTAGAAAGGAGCCTTGTCGGTTAAACTGTCCTGTTGAACTAATTAAATGAGACACATCTAATGCGCTGCAATGATTGTCAGGTCAAAGTAGTAGAAGAAGGTCAGCCAGATTAAAGGAGCAAAATCTAGATTAGTTGACCCTAATAGGATAAGAAATATGGAGAGTAGTACAGCTATAGCGCTACATGCAATTGCACACAACCATACAATAGGATGGAATAATATGACAGTCTTAAAATCTAGTGTAACAGAGTGGAGGGAAGCTTTATTTATCAAATCAGCTGTAAGCACGTGTAACAGGAATGATTCAGCACCTGTCTCAGACATTTGGAAAATTCTACTACCCCTGTGACGAATAGGAAAGAATAAAGAAAACTATAAAAGGAAAGTTTTGAGGTTGTGTGGTTATGATTGATATGATTATGAACAATAAATTGTGTTTGAAATGTCATCCAGTAAATAGTAGTGGATCACTATGCGCAAAATATGTCCTAGACATCTTAATCGGAGCGTCTTCACGATTTTGATGATTGGCTTTCTCTACTTACCTAATACTCCACGCCTAATGTCAATATTAATCACCCTATTAAACCATTTAACACGTGAGATAGAAGACAAACATCTGTTCAAAGACGGCTAGCGCATTTACATATTCCTTTTCCAGTAGCCAAGTTCCTTAGTCACAAACGTTGTGGACTGCTGCGCTGTACACACGTCTTTAGGTCAATAGCCGGATACCACGTCTAAGATAATGATGACTTAAATTGGCAAATGCCACATGAACCTTTTGTATTCGTGCTGGGATTTTGTGAGAAGCCAATCCACTTAGCATGATTTTCAACCAATTCACCTACTGCGTATGGCTAGGCGTCGGTGCAGTGCAGCCCTCCAGCATCATTTTAAATTTTTCAGCGGTGACACCCATGCCAAACATCCATAGATTTCTGATTAAGGTATTCGGATGCCTCTATATTATGTCAGCGTCCTCACATAGGAGGACTATATCACCAAATTATTCTAACTCGACAACAGTGCGCCCTGGTAACAAGTCAACCTCTAAGTCATTAGAGTCAATTCCACTAGTGCATCTGTGATGAAATCAAATAGAAAGAGGGACAGTGGCCATCACTGACAAACATCACTGGTTGTCATCAGTTCAGATGACAACTCTTCATGAGCTCTCACACGGCTGAGTGAGTTTGAGTAGAGTATCTTGATCAATGCGATGCTCCCTCTGTGATGGTGTGGCACGGACAATGTGTTCCAGAGGAATATTACCCTCCCATATTCTCACCGTTCAATACGGCATTAACAATAGAATACGATATATATATATATATATATATATATATATATATATATATATATATATAAATTCCAAGATAAAATATACAAACAAACTGAGGGAGTTGCCATGGGATCACCAATATCCCCAGTTGTAGCAGATATATTCATGGATAGGTGGGAGAAGATAGCGATTGAAACGTTCACCCCAGCCTCAAAAGTATGGTGGAGGTATGTAGATGACACATTCACTGTACTTAGGACACAAGATATAGATAGATTTTTCGAGCACATCAACTCGAAGGTAGAGGCAATTCAATTCACTTATGAATTGGAAAGTCAAGAAGGGGAAATTCCAATGTTAGATTGCAACGTTAAAAGGAAAGAAGTTGGGAAGCTAAACACTAGTGTTTATAGAAAACCCAAACATCAAACAGATATTTGGATTTCCGATCATCCCATCCTATGTGTTGCCTATCCTCGAAGCTTTCTCCATCTCTTTGGCTTTTGTCGCCCACCACTGTTCACGGTCCTTGCGGAGACTTTTCGTAAGTTTCCTCTTGTGCAGCTTTCGCTCCTCATTGAATTCGGAGCTCGCCGGAATAAGTCTTCTAGCATCTATCAGTTCGGATGAGGCGGTGGAGATCCAGTCCTGTGGAGCCTTTAGAACAAAACAATTCAGTTTATCTTATACCCTGCAATGATTGTGAGGTCAAATACATAGGTCAAACTAGTAGAACAGGGACAGTCAGACTAGCTGAACATAAAAACCTAGCTAAATCTAGATTGGTTGACTCAAATAAGATAAGAAATCTAGAGAATAGTTCAGCTATAGCACTACATGCAGTTACACACAACCATACAATAGGATGCGATAGGATGACAGTTTTAAAATCTAATGTCACAGGGTATAGGGAGAGATTGATAACAGAAGCTTTGTTTATCGAATCAACTGCAAATACATGTAATAGAAACGATTCAACACCTGTCCTAGATATATGGAAAATTCTACTGCCCATACGACAAATCGGAGAAAACAAAGAAAACTATAAAACTCAAATCTCAAAGTCGTGTGACCACAATTGATATGATTATGAACAATAAATTGTGTTCGAAATGTCATCCAGTATACAATACTGTTTCACTGTGTGATACATTTAATAAACAAACTAATATGGAATTACTTAGTACCACAGTGCCCAAGTTTTACACGTATATTATTAATGAAAAATACACCTTGGCTTCCGTGTCTTGCCTTCTTCTGTTACAACTCAACAGCCCGACAGATAGCTGCTACCTTGATGTAGTGGTCGGGGTTGCAAACCGCAATGACCCAACAAGCTACACTGGCTAGAACAGTTGTTTCTGCAGGTCCTTCCATGCCAGGAAGGTTGTTAGGATAGCGATTAGACTAAAAGCTGTTACTGGCCTTGTATAATTATTTTTTTATACTACGCTAGGGGTCTGTGGGCGAAGTCGTACTGCTGGGGAACAGGGATGTAATAGCAGTAAGGTGTTTCCCACAGATGACCAGCATGCCAGCTATGCTGCCTCTCCACTCTGGAGAGAGGGGGTTAGAAGAGATCGACCTCAACAACTGTACATTCCAACTTACTCTATGGTGGTCAGTAACCAACTGTAAGTTTACTAATACGGAACCAAACCAAGAAACCAGTTCATAAAGGCCGTGTGTGACCGGCCCAAAGCAGTTGTCTCCTGGACTCTGAGGTCACCCAACACTAACACTCTTTCTGTCTCAGGTACCCGAAGAATCAATCAACTTTCACGGTGTGGGCAGTCGGAAAGTAACAACCGCCCACACACTTCCAAGAGCACACGAAGCCTCCCCGAGCATCATTCTTCGTAATCCACATCACCATCATCTTACTCCCCTATTAGAGTTAGTGCTATTCTTCAGGCTAGTGAGGCATCTTCTTTTCACTTTGTGATCACAAATAACGGTGAGAGCCATAGAAACACCCCTGACAGCCTTTTAAAGCCACGTCGCCAACTTCATATAGCAGCATTTGACGTCAGGACCCTCCTCCGAATCGGACAACAGGCATCACTACCAAGAACGCTGGCATCTCGAGCCATGGATATATGTTGTGTTTCGGAGACACACATACAAGACCGGAGTGTGGTTATTCACTTAACCTCACCCGGCCAACAAGGTGAATCTGCGAAAATCACCATAAGTATGTCAGGAAAATCCTCAGCTAGTTTGCGAAGACTCGCAGGTGTAGGGATAGCTCTGATTGTTAGGGCGGAAAAATCACTTCTTGACTGGGTCCCAGTAGATAGTCGTATGTGTGCGGTCCGTCTGAGTGAGTCCGTTAAAAGAAGGAAAGACGGCTCCGCCCGTCGTTGCCTTTTCGTAGTCTCTGCTTACACCCCAACAGACTGCAGTTCAGATGAACTAAAGGATGATTTCTACCTGAACTGTCTAATTTACTGCAAAAAGCAAAACGTTCAGTTATAGTTCTTTTAGCAGGCGACTTCAATGCCTAATTAGGGAAGTTGTGCTAGGCTGAGAAGTTTGTAAGTGGTACGTATGGAGTTCCCTGCAGATGAACCGACAACGGTGATCGTCTTCTACAGTTTTGCTCAGATGATCATCTGTTCCTAGTCAGCAATAACTTTGGGCACAAAGAAAGACACTGCGTCACCTTGGGACCTCCATCACCAAATCAACGCTGAACTTAGGTAGACCACATAGTCATAGGGTATCGTCAGTAGAAGACTGTCGCTCCTTCTGAACACATGCGTAGACTCTGATCGCGCTCACGTTTATGCTTATGACTAAACGGATATAAGAAATTGTTGGCAGCGAAACAGTTACGTCCCCAACAAGATCGAGACTCTGAGTCTCTATTTAAGGAAGAAATAACGAAACGAGTGTCTGAGATGGACAGCAGGACATCCACTGAGAAAGCCTGCCTGGCACAACATACAGTTAACTGTAGATACAGCTGTAAAAGCTGTTAATAAGCTAAAACCAAAAGTTAGTAAGAGCTAGTGGATCTCTACCACCTCATCCGAACTGATTGATTAAAGAAGACTGATTCCGATGAGCTCCGATTATAGTGAGGAGCAAAAGCTACTGAAACGAAAACTGACAAGAAGTTTTCGCAACGACCGCGAACAGTGGTGGGCGACAAGAGTGAAAGAGATGAAAAAGACATCAGCGATCGGTAACACCAGACAGCAATTAAAGCTTATCAGGGAAACAGATGGTAAGAGGCAAATGATAAGTGAAACAATCTCTGGGAAAAATGGCACCATAATTAGCTCTCAGGACAAACG